TACAGCCTCTATGAAAAATAGCAGGGAGATTCCTTTAAAAACTAAATATAGAGCTGCCATTTATCCTACAATCCCACTCCTGGGCATTATCTGGACAAAAAAATAATTCAAAAAGTTACACGTACCCCTGTGTTCATAGCAGCACTGTTTACAATATCCAAGGCATGGACCCAACCTAAATGTCCATTGATAGATGAATGGATAAAGAGAAGACGTGGTACATATATACAGTGGAATACTTCTCAGCCATGATAGTGTGCTCACTCACCCAGAGCCAGACCTCCTGGAGTGTAAAGTCAAGTGGGCCTTAGGAAGTATTACTATGAACAAAGCTACTGGAGGTGATGGAATTCTGGCTGGGCTATTTCAAATCCTAAACGATGATACTGTTAAAGTGCTGCACTCAATATGTCAGCAAATTTGGGAAACTAAGCAGTGGCCACAGGACTGGAAAAGGTCAGTTTTCATTCCAATCCCAAAGAAAGGCAATGCCAAAGAATGCTCAAACTACTTACCACAAAATTGCATTTATTTCACATGTTTGCAAAGTAATGCTTAAAATCCTTCAAGTTAGGCTTCAACAGTATGAGAACTACCAGATTTACAAGCTGGATTTGAAAAAAGCAGAACAACCAGAGGTAAAATTGCCAACATCCATTAGATCATAGAAAAACCAAGGGAATTCCAGAAAAAACATCTACTTTTGCTTTATTGAATACACTAAAGCCTTAGACTGTATAGATCACAACAAACTGTGGAAAATTNTTGATGCTTTTGAACTGTGGTGTTGGAGAAGACTCTTAAGAATCCCTTAGAACAGCAAGGAGATCCAACTAGTCCACCCTAAAGGAAATCAATGCTGAATATTCATTGGAAGGACTGATACTGAAGCTGAAGTTCCAATACTTTGGCTACCTGATGCTAAGAGCTGACTCATTGGAAAAGACTCTGAGGCTGAGAAAGATTGAGGGCAGGAGGAGAAGGGGGCAACAGAGGATGAGATGATTGGATGATATCATCAACTCAATGCACATGAGTTTGAGCAAACTCTGGGAGATGGTGATGGTCAGGGAAGACTGGCATGCTTCAGTCCATGGGGTTGCAAAGAGTCGTACACGACTAAGCGACTGAACAACAATAACCACGTGTCAACCATAAAAAAAAAAAAAAAGAATGGAATAATGCCATTAGCAGCTACATGGATGGACTTAGAGATTATCATACCAAGTGACATAAATCACAGAAAGGCAGATAGTATATGATACCACTTATATGTGGAATCTAAAACATGATAGGTAGATGTCCATTCACAGATGAATGGATAAGAAAGCTGTGGTACATATACAATGGAATATTACTCAGCCATTAAAAAGAATACATTTGAATCAGTTCTAATGAGGTGGATGAAACTGGAGCCTATTATACAGAGTAAAGTAAGCCAGAAAGAAAAATACTGATACAGTATATTAATGCATATATATGGAATTTAGAAAGATGGTAATGATGACCCTATATGTGAGACAGTAAAAGAGACATAGATGTAAAGAACAGACTTTTGGACTCNTGGACTCTGTGGGAGAGGGCAAGGGCAGGATGATATGGGAGAATGGCATTGAAACATGTAAATTATCATATGTGAAATGAATCGCCAGTCCAGGTTTGATGCATGAGACAGGGCGCTCAGGGCTGGTGCACTGGGATGACCCAGAGGGATGGGATGGGGAGGGAAGTGGGAGGGGGGTTCAGGATGGGGACACATGAACACCCATGGAGGATTCAAGTCAATGTATGGCAAAACCAATACAATGTTGTAAAGTAAAATAATAAATAAATTAATTTTAAAAAATAAAACATGATACGAATGAATTTACAAAACAGAAATAGACCCACAGGCATAGAAAACAAACTTACGGTTACCAGAGGTGAAGGGTGGGATGAATGAATTAGGAGTCTGATACCACGGGGTCTCAGAGAGCAGGACACAGCTTAGTGACCAAGCAACAATTCACACACACACACCCCTATTATAAAACAGATAGCCAACACGGACCTACTGTGCAGCGCAGGAACTACACTCAACACTTTGTAATAACCTATCAGAGAGAAGAGTCTGGAATATATACGTATGAATCACTGCGCTGTATACCTGAAACTAACACAACACTGTAAATCAACTATGCTTCAATTCTCTTAACAATTAAATAAAAATCATATATCCCTACAGAAAAATAAAGTTTCTTGGGAGGCCTAACTCTTCTGTAAATTGTTGCGCCAGAGCTGGAGATAGAGCCCTAGACCACTGACAATAAATAAATAAATAAGCATTGACCCTAGGTTCTACTCCCAGAACATTCTGATATAATTGGTTTGGTGTCCTGCCCAGTAATCAGGCACAGATACAGTGGATTTTAAGGTGTAGCTGTAGTGGTTTTATTGCCAAAGATGGCCACTATTTAAGTACCTCCTATTATCTGTATTCTTTCCAATGTGCCTCTGTTATTCCTTGCTCCTCCCATTAAGAGGAGGATTATGACCTTGGACAGTTAGCAAGCATAACACAAGCAGAGACTTAAAACATGTTTACACATCAGTGCTTTCTTCTTTGTTGCTTTGGAACCTGAGACATCATGTAAACCAGGTTGGAGGATGAGAGACCTCAGTGGTCCAGCTGTTAACAGCCACAATCATAAAAAATGCAGCCAGTCACAGCCCACTTTCTACCCATAAATGCATGAGCAGAGCCAACCAGAATAAGCCAAACTTGAACCAAGAACTGAAGTTTTATAATGAGTTAAACAAATAGTGGTTGTTTTAAGCCACCAAGGTTTGAGATTTGTTAAGCAATCATGGGCAGGTAAAACTTGCAGTCAATAAAATGGCAACTCCAGGAAGAAGTATCATCACATCAAAGGGATCATCTCAGACACCCCTAGCTGAGGGCTGTTTGGCTCAGCTCACTAGGCCACCCTGGGATTCCTCCTTCTCTCCTCTCAGGCAAGAATGGCCACCTACAAGCACTTTCCACAAGTCCCCTCATTTCACTCAGCTATCACTAAAGGCAACAGAAGACCCAGGCCATGAAAGCATGAAGACTTTGGAGAACTTCAAGGAAGATAGAGCACAGATTTGGGTCCAAAACATTTTTTTTTTTTTAAGAGAATATTTAATAGAATATTTGTTGTTAAACATCTGAGACAAAGCTTGGCTTCTGAATTACCCCCAGCTAAGATTAAAGAAAACTTATGAGATTTTTATATTGAATCACCCCAAATTTTTCAGTACATGTAAGGAGATATGTTTCTTGATGAAAAGGAGACCTGTAGGAAATAAACAATGATTGGACATAATCTCTTGTCTACAATGCATCATGGCTACAATACAATTCTGCCATTCGGCATAGAACAGGTGTGGGTTGGTGCAGGTTTGATTTGATTCACGCCTTGTGCTTGGCTCTCTCTTTGTCCTCATCTGGCTTCGCTCCTTTCCTCTCTTCTAACTCTACTGTCTTGTTGTTATTGCTAGTACTTGTTGCTCTAGACCACTTAACCCTATGTTGTTCAGTTGCTCAGTCATGTCCGACTCTTTGCGACCCCAGGGACTGTTAAGACAGGTACTTGGGGAAATACCATCCTCCCCACTGGGGAACGTTCCTGAAAACCTTGCCCAGGGAACAGATGGAGATGAACGCTCTTTGCTGGCAAGCTGATCCTGCAGGGCAGGACTTGAGCCAAGCATTCTCAGCTTCTTTCAGCCTCAACTATTGGTTGAGTCTCTGCTCCTTCAGGGGTAAGGGGGAGGGGATGGAGAGCGGCCAGGGGGTTACTCTAGCAGAAACCCTTGCCTCCCAGGAGACCACAGTATGAAAAGACTCTCCTACCAGCTTCTCTGGGTATACCAATCAGCTGTTTTCTCTCACACTTGCTGCTAAAGCAGCCAGGTGTAAGGGACTTGCACCTCCAGGGACTCCATGGAAACAAGGCCAGAGAGCTCTGTGGCAGATGGAGTATGTTTATCCAGAGAGAGTGTCTGCTAGTGGTTCCTTAAAAAAAGTAAATAATTAATGACGGTCATGCTGAAAATATTAGCAAGGATTCTACTCTGGAAGCTCTTCCAGAAATGAGGAGAAATGGATTTCATTTGAGTGGAAACGGAAAACAGAAACCAGAAGCATCATTAAAGGCTATAAATTAAGAGGAAAATAAACAATGTAAGAGAATATGATGAAAAACATTGGCCCGTTACAGTTTGGTGCCAACTTCTGCTTAGAACAAAGTTTCTCAACTTTTTCTTTTTATCGCCTCCCCAAAGAAGACTTTTTATACTAGATCATCCCTCTCCTCCCCAAGTCTAATATCATGGATATACTATATATTTGTATGCACTAGGGCTCTTTGGAAGGCCACATGCCATTGTAACATCAAAGGTTTTTGCCCCCAAAGAACCAATTTTCTTTCCTTTGGGGGCAATACGGCCCCCACTGAGAACACACAGCTTAGTATAATAACTCTTATTCCACTCTATGTTCTGGGCTCATTTGGATTCCTTATAAAGAAATCTGAAATGTATGGACCAGGAAATCAAAAGTTGTTTTAGTGAAATGACTGGGTATTTTTATTTTTATTTATTTATTTTTTTTTTTACAAGTTTAATTTTTAATTTATTAGAACCCAGTAAGTGATGATTTTAAAAGCAGAGTTTCCATCAAATTAACATGGAATTCAGGGCAAAAATACATTCAAAAAACAAACTGTAAGGCAGAAGTAAAACATTATAAAATGAGGATGATCTAATACAGACTGTAGAATGTCAGGATTTTAAGAGATTCACATAGTATTTTATAGCACTAAAATGTTAATACAGTCAGAAATATTATCAATTGATCCATGATTTCTCAGTTTATAAAATGTCTAGACACTGCTAATTGAAGCAGTTTTGCTGTGTAAGTAGTAGCTACTGTATAACCAAGTGACTGTTTTTATGACAAAGGAGCTATTAAACAGTATTGATAGTATGTGAAAAAATAAAAATATGATCATCAATCATGCATTTCACAATTTCATGAAGTAAGGTAAGTATAACTCATAAATATTGTTATGTCTTTGCAGGTTTTCTCAGCTTACATCAGGCCTCAGCTGAAAGCTTATCTACCAAACACATCGGCACTCATGTAAAGTAAGGACAGGAGGGGGTGACTGCACGTTGCTGCCCAGTGTTTGGCTTCAGGTGCCTCTCTCTTATGAAACTGTTCTAGGATAACTCCTTGAACAGCATGAGAAAAGAGTGGATAGAACAGAACACCTGTTGGGCTAACAAGAATATGTTAGTGTATAAAAAGTTTTTCAGCTGAATAGTTGTTCTCACTGTGGTTCTGCTATGCACAACATATAAACTGTACAACCATTTTTCCTGTTTGTCTCTTTGTGGAAAGAATTAGGCTCAATAAAATGTAAAATATACATTAGTTTGCTTTAAATGCAAAGATTAAAGTTTTTCTTACTTTGTTTTTGGCTCAACTGTAACATAACCCCAGAAGTCTCTGCTTTAATAATACAATATGAAAAGTTCACATATGTACATGGGTACATTCCTTCATTAAAATTTTTCATTAAATCTATCTCAATTTATCTTTACAACTGATACAACTGATCTTTATAAGAAAAGTCAAAATAGACAAAGTAGAAATGATTCCATTTTACAGCACTTTAGGTTATCTGAGGTTTTCCTTCACGGCTTAAAGGGCATCATTGAAATGTTGCTTTCCATAGTCTGCAGGATCCATCTGGAGTTCTCGTTCTTCATCATTTTGCTTCAATTTATCGAAATCACCAGCTCGATCCTTGGTAGCCTGCTTTAGAACTTCTACTTGAATTCTGGGTTCACTCTCCAAGTTAGGGCCTGAAATTAAACGCTGAAGAGGATTGGAAGGGTTCTGTTTTGAAGTTCTAGAGTTTCCATTGTGGTTTATGTGAGAATCTGGAACCATATTTGGGGAGAGAGGTTTTCCGGTTGGAAGATGGGAGATTACTTGATGACTTTCATATTGAGAAAAGGAAACAGGGGGTTTCTTTAAAGCAACAGGAACATCTTCAGCTTTTGCAAGGTCATTCTCTTCTATTCCAGGCATGCCTGCATCACCACCTCGTTTGATTTGTTCTTTCCCGTGTGGAATATGATGGCTTGAGGGCGCTTCATTCTTGCCTGCACCGTTCTCAGCAACTTCTGGAATGTTTTTAGGCACTGCATGATTGTCCGTATCCAATTCATTTCCACCTTTTGATTCAAACTTGTGGGCCTCTTGCTTTTGTTCCTGCAAAAATTGGTGTGCTAACTTTTTAATATTTTCTTCATGCTGAGCTCTTAACTCCTTGATCTGTTGTCCACACTGAAAACTCTCATATTCTAACCTCTTCACAAGGTAAGTGTTGTTCTTCCTATAGTCTTGCAGTTGGTCTTCCTGTCGAAGAAACTCCTGACGAAGCTCAGCAAGTTGCTCCTTTAAATGATGTATGTCTGCCATCTGATATGATGTGTTGTTCTGCAGGTTAACCTTGTCATCTTCGCATCTCTTCCCCAGGCCCTCTCGGGCCTGCAGCCGGCTGCTAAGGCGCCGTCGGCCTCCTTCTGGTCAATCTGTTTCTTGTGCGAGTCCACCAAGAGCAGGAGGTCCGAATTGCGCTTCTCCAGGCGCCCGCGGGCCACCTCGGTGCGCTGGACCTGGCCCTGCAGCTCCGCCACCTCCTCCTGCCGCAGGACGTGGCGTGAGGAGATGCTCCAGTAATTGAAGGCGAGCACCGCGATCACCACCAGCAGGACTGCCAGAACCAGGGAGGGCAGGCGGCCGGCCCGCCGGTTCGCCCCGAAGCCCACCATGGGGCCGAAGCAGGCCGCGCCCCGAGCTTCGGCCGACACCTGCGGGCAGACGCTCAGGCAGCGGCTGAGGAGTTGCCCGGGGGACGCGGCCCCAGGGCCGGACGACGCGTGACTGGGTATTTTTAAAACAATTCATCAAAATATTAACAGCCAGGTAGGTTTTATGTTTAGTACTATTCAGTCAGTTGGCCCACCTTGAACACATCTTCAAATTATTTCTATACACAGAAACACACCATCAATCTGTCAGACAGGTAAGTAGTCTTGCAACTTAAAAAAATTTTTTTAAGTTTTTTATTTGGAAGTCAGATTCCAAATATATTATCTTTTAAAACCAGCTGAGTGGTTTGCAGAAACTGTGGTGGTTTGTCTCTGTCAGATCTGTACCACTAGTCCCTAAGATAACACTTTGCATCATTTAGCTACTGCTGCATAACAACCAACCCCAAAATTCAATATCTTAAAGTAATAAACATTTGTTATTGCTCACAGGTCTCCAGGTTAGCTGAGTGTACTTGTAACCTTGCCTTGCAGTACAGATGGGCTCATTAATCTCTCTTCCTCCAGCAGACTACCCTGGGCTAGTTCGCATACTTGCATCAGGGGTTCATGAGAGATGAGGACGGGGCTCTAATGAAATTGAGTAGTTTATATGACCCTAAAACACATTAGCAGATAGCAAATTAGGAGAAAAAGAAACAAATGGAGCAATGTTAACTGCCATAAATATTGATTTCTTTATGAAAAAGATAAAAAGTGGCATGTTAAAAAGTGTATTCAATTAAGGATCAGAGACTGGATTTCTCATCTTAACTTTTGTGGGGTATAACAGGCAAAATAAGACAAACCCTCTGAGTCTTCATTTGTCCATCTGGAAAGTAGAAATAATATCTTTTCTCCCCATTTCCTAAGTTTGTTGTGATGAGCAAATGAGGCAATTTTAAACTGTGAAGCTTTATATAAATATGACATATATCACCTTCATGTATTTACTACTTGAATTCCTTTTCTAAATTGTTATGAGTGAAGAAGCAGGGATTTTCTGTTATCTGAATAAAAGACAGAGGAAACCATTCTACAGAAAGAAGGGGATGCTGAGTTTTAATATTAGGCTGTTCATCAAAAATCAAGACCTTGGGAAAACTGTGTGAACTTGGGAAAGCATGTGAGCTCTAGCCCTTAAATTTTCCCAAGGTAGATTTGAATATTCCTAAGAATGCTTCTATCATCCAGAGTCTAAATGAGCTGTTCTTTTACTGGAACAAGTTAAAATTTATTATTTATGTTAGCAAAGCTAAAAAGAAAAGTAGTTAGAATTTTAACTGCCCCAGGAATCCTGGCGGATTAAAGGGAAGAAATAAAAGGAATTTTTCTAGTTAAGAAAGAATCTTTGGAGATGAGAGGCAGGAGAGGTGAACAAAGAGGGAATCAGAGTTGGGAGGACTATAGCGACGGAGAGTATTGAGAGAAAAAATGACAAGAAAAAGACAAAAAAGTTCACCAGGGGGCACTCAGAATGATTTTGTAAAGCCAACACAATACTTAATTTTTTAAAGGAATATCTTTAATTGGGGCAAACATTCTGTTTGGCCACCATTCTTAACCCCCAATCCAAATGACACCTTCATGTTACCTATTTGGTTTCTTTTGAGATCTGATTGTTGATGAAACATTCATTAAAGCATGAATCCAAAGCCTCAGACAACACAGACTGCAACCTCCAACAGTTCTCAGTCTTACTGAGAGAGTCATTCAGTCTCTTCTCTGTTTTCTCCGAAGTATATGTACATGCTAAGTCATTTCAATTGTGTCTGATTCTTTTGTGACCCCATGGACTGTAGCCTACCAGGCTCCTCTGTCCATGGAGTTCTCCAGGTAAGAATACTGGAGTGGGTTGCCATTCCTTTCTCCAGGAGATCTTCCCAATCCAGGGATCAAAATCCAGGTCTCCTGCATTGGAGGCAGATTCTTTACTGTCTGAGCCACAGAGAAGCCTTCTAAATTACAAGCAGTAACATCTCACGTATGGGGTTCTGTGGGAATGAACGGGGTTCACGGGTCTGAAGTGGATAGCAAAGTGGCTGCCACACTGAAGCTACTCATTCTAATTTTAGTTTACTCTTTTCTACTTCCTTCTTTCTCTTCTGACCACCTCTCTTTATTTTCGTCCTGTTTATTTCCTCTTTCTTTCTTCATGTTTCTCTCTTCCCTTCTGCTTCCCTGTAGCGCTCACACTTCCAGCACATGTAAGCTCAGCTTCTATTCCTTAGAGAGGACCTTGCTTCCTCCAGAATTAGACTGAGCTCTCCCTTGCCCGCTCCTGCACCTGAATCCCATTGCAGGCTTTACATCACAGCACCGAATAGAACAAGAGGGGCTCTGTTTCTGGGCCTGCGGTTTTCAGGATCAGCGTCATATCCACGAGCAAAAGTTCCATTATGAAATCCATATTCCATGTAAGCTGGTGCAACCTCTATGGGAAATCCACCTTCCATGTAAACTGGTATGACCTCTATGGCAGTTTCCTCAAAAAAACTAAAAATAGAGCTACCATACGTCCAGGGATCCCACTCCTGGACATTTACTAGGACATTCTCTAATTCAACAAGATACATGCAACCCAATGTTCATTGTAGTACCATTTACAATGGCCAAGACATGGAAGCAACCTAAATGTCCATCAACAGATGAATGCATGAATAAGATGTAGTTTACACATACAAAGGAATATTACTCATAAAAATGAATGAAATGATGTCATTTGCAGCAACATGGATGGACTTGGAGATTATCAAACTAAGTGAAGTCAGAAAGACAAAGACAGATACCATATGATATCACTTTCATGTGATATCTGGAACGTGACACAAATGAACTTATCTACAAGACAGAAATAGACTCACAGACATAGAGAACAAATTTGATTCCCAAGGAGGAGGGAGAATGGGGCAAGGATGGATTAGGAGCTTGGGATTAGCAGATGGAAAGTATTATATGTAGAGGGAATAAACAACAAGGTCCCAGTGAATAGGATAGGGGAATATTTTCAATATCCTGTGGTAAATTATAATCAAAAGAATACAAAAAGGAACATACACACACACACACACACACAATGTATGTATATGAATGTGTATACACATGTATATGTATGTATGTATATATATATGTATATGTGTGTGTGTGTGTGTGTGTGTGTGTATGGCTGAATCACTTAGGTGTATAATAGAAATTCAATTCAGTTGCTCAGTCATGTCCAACTCTTTCTGACCCCAAGGACTGCAGCATACCAGGCCTCCCTGTCCATCACCAACTCCCAGAGTTTACTCAGACTCATGTCCATTGAGTCGTTGATGCCATCCAGCCATCTCATCCTCTGTTGTCCCCTTCTCTTCCCACCTTCAATCTTTCCCAGCATCAGGGCCTTTTCAAGTGAGTCAGTTCTTTACATCAGGTGGCCAAAGTATTGGAGTTTCAGCTTCAGCATCAGTCCTCCAGTGAATATTCAGGACTGATTTCCTTTAGGATGGACTGGTTGGATCTCCTTGCAGTCCAAGAGACTCTCAAGAGTCTTGTCCAACACCACAGTTCAAAAGCAACAATTCTTCAGTGCTCAGCTTTCTTTATAGTCCAACTCTCACATCCATTCATGACCACTGGAAAAACCATAGCTTTGACTAGATGGACCTCTGTTGTCAGAGTAATGTCTCTGCTTTTTAATATGCTGTCTAGGCTGGTCACAGTTTTTTGTCCAAGGGGCAAGTGTCTTTTAATTTCATGGCTGCTGTCACCATCTGCAGTGATTTTGGAGCCCCAAAATTAGAGTCTGCCACTGTTTCCACTGTTACCCCATCTATTTGACATGAAGTGATGGGACCAAATGCCATGATCTTAGTTTTCTGAATGTTGAGCTTTAAGCCAACTTTTTCACTCTCCTCTTTCACTTTCATCAAGAGGCTCTTTAGTTCTTCTTCACTTTCTGCCATAAGGGTGGTGTCATCTGCATATCTGAGGTTATTGATATTTCTCCCGGCAATCTTGATTCCAGCTTGTGCTTCTTCCAGCCCAGCGTTTCTCATGATGTACTCTGCATAGAAGTTAAATAAGCAGGGTGACAATATATAGCCTTGACATACTCCTTTGCCCATTTGGAACCAGTCCATTGTTCCATGTTCAGTTCTAACTGTTGCTTCCTGACCTGCATACAGGTTTCTCAAGTGGCAGGTCAGGTGGTCTGGTATTCCCATCTCTTTCAGAATTTTCCACAGTTTGTTGTGGTCTGCACAGTCAAAGGCTTTGGCATAGTCAATGAAGCAGAAGTAGATGTTTTTCTGGAACTCTCTTGCTTTTCTGATCATCCAATGGATGTTGGCAATTTGATCTCTGGTTCCTCTGCCTTTTCTAAAACCAGCTTGAATATCCGGAAGTTCATGGTTCATGTACAGTTGAAGCCTGGCTTGGGGAATTTTGAGCATTACTTTGCTAGCATGTGAGATGAGTGCAATTGTGTAGTAGTTTGAACATTCTTTGGCATTGCCTTTCTTTGAGATTAGAATGAAAACTGACCTTTTCCATTCCTGTGGCCACTGCTGAATTTTCCAAATTGAGGCCTTACAAACAGCTATGAAAAGAAGAGAAGCAAAAGGCAAAGGAGAAAAGGAAAGACATATCCATTTGAATTCAGAGTTCCAAAAAATAGCAAGGAGAGAGAAGAAAGCCTTTCTCAGTGATCAGTGCAAAGAAATAGAGGACAATAATAGAATGGGAAACTCTAGAGATCTCTTCAAGAAAATTAGAGATACCAAGGGAACTTTTCATGCAAAGATAATAGAAATTAACATGTTATAAATCAACATGTTATAAATCAACTAATCTTCAATAATATAATTTTTTTAAAAAAAAATATGTATTCCAAATACCAAGAAGTAGAAAGCAAAAAGTAATTTGAAATCATTTTTACTAAAGAAGATGAAAACGGCCAGCAGCTGCACCTGTTTAAC